AAAAAAAATGTAGTGCAAGATGTAAAATGTTGCATCCTGTGGTTTAGCAATAACCTGCACCTGCACAGAGGGTGATGGATGGGGAGGTTCACCCAGCAAAGCTCTGAGGGATTGGGGGCCAAGGTGGAGGGGAAAGCACCACGGCCAACTCCAGCCATGTCCCTGTGTGCTCTCCCACATTTCCAGCTGGTTCCACTGTGTCCCATTCCAGCCATGTCCCTCTGCTCTCCCTTGTTCCCACCTGTCTCTCCCATGTCCCACCCCAGCCACTTCCCACCACTCCCCCGTGTTCACAAGCTCTGACCCCCCTCCCCTCCCTGAGCTCCCTCCCCAGCCAGTGCCAGATGTGGCACCACAGCTGGACGTGGTTCTTGCTCCATTTCCTCTCCATCCAGGGCACAAAACACCCTTTGGTGCCTCTGCAGATCCTGTGGCTCAGGAGTCTCTGCTGTCCCTGGGCTGTCCCTGCCCGTCCCTCCTTCCTTGTGCCTCATGGGATGTAGCTTTGCCCATTCCTGCTCATCCACCAAAGGTCATAAACCCCAGCACATCCCTCCCCCCGAAGTCTGGAGGAACTAAAAGGTTTCTGCAAGCCCAGAAAACACGAGCAGCTGCTGAGCTCTTCCCTTTGCAGGACCCCCCTCCCCAACCCTGCCTGTTTCCCCAAAAAAAACTGCAGAGAGGAGGAGGAGGAATGGGAACTCTGAGCAGCAGAGCCCCTGCAAAGCAGCTTTATTTATCCCCAAATAACCAGGCTGCTCCTGAACACTGAACAGCCCTGGGTGGTGTCTAAAGGGCCACCACACCTGGGTGGATGGTCCAGCCCCATCCCCTGGTGCTTCCACACCTCCCTGTCCAGGCAATGCTCCAGCACAGCATGGAATGCTCTGCCCTGCAGCTTCCACGTGCACACAGTGAAGGGAGAAAGGGGCTGTGGGGGTGGAAATAATCAGCCCTCTCAGATGATCCCTGTGCAAAGTATTGACTTTTCAAAATAATCTCGTCAGCGCTGCTGGGCACAGGATTTATTCTGCTCATGATGCGGTTGCAGCCTGGTTGTTTAACCATCCAAACTTGTTCTGGCTTCCAAAAGCATTTCAGCCAAGACAGAGGTTTATTTTAATTAAAAACCTATCATCCAAGGTTGTTGGTACTTCTGGTCCTGTTCCCTATCCCGGGGACTGGAGATCCTCCACGCTACACCCTGCAGACCCCTTGAGTCTGAAGGTCTTTGCACTCAGAAATGGGGCAAAAACTGCAAATGAACGTGAAATTCCACTTTCTCCCCTCTCTTTTCATCCCTGGCAGGGGCACAGTGCACACATTTGGAGTCTGTTTACCGAAAAAAAGGAGCTGCTATTTACCAACGCTGATGTTTGGCTTTCCTGTGATGCTCTTGATCTAAATGCCCTCCCAGCCCTGAAAGCCCCTGCAGTGGAAATGCCTCAAACTCACCTGGGCAGAACCCAGCCCTGGGTGCCCAGCTGGAACCAGGCTCGTGTTCCCTCTGGAAAAAACAACTTCCCCTGGCTGAAAATTGACCCAACAGCACCTTCATGAGCTGAGGGCTCTGAGGAGGGGGCAGTGCCCACGAGCTGTGCCCAGGGGTGGCTCACGAACGGCCAGCCCTGCCTGGGGGTCACCTGGGTGGGCAGTGCCACCCTGAAACCTCCCCCCAAAGCCACAGGCAGCAACAGGCACCAGGGAGAGGCTCTTCCATCAGTGCCAAGGGGACAGGGAATCCAGAAAGTGCCCTCCCCTCTTCCAGGCGAACAGCTTCGCTCCAGCTCTCACCAGTTTGGCCCTCAGGGTATTTTTGCTGAGGGTCCTACTTTTAGAATTCCAAACACGCCTTAAAATCTCTTGAAATAGTGTAATTACACAGTTCAATGACAAACAGCAGCAGAAGGAGAGAGGAATTCAAAGGAACAGGCCTGGAGATGCATCTGCAGGTGAAGCTGGGAGGGAGCTGGTGGGACACAGGAATATCCCAACCATTGTTTCCCAGGGCTGGTGGGAGTCAGTCAGAGCTTTGCTTCCTGCAGGGACCCCCCCCCAGGGCTGGCCCTGCCCACTGAGGGGTCGGTTGTTGGGAGTCTCTGCTCACATTTCCCTCATCCCACCCCCAGCTGGGGGGGCACAAGGTCCCTGGGAGCACAGGGAAAACTGAGCCCAGGATCCTGCTGCTCCAAATCCAGAGCTCCCACCCCCCTATCCTGCCCCTCTTCCACTGGGCAAAGCCACCTCAGGCATTCCCGTGGGCTGGAGGGTCACTCAACAGCAGCAGCTTAACCAGGAGAATTTTGGAAAGGGCTCCAGCCTGCTCTGCCTCCCCATCCCAGAGCACAGCTCATGAGCTTGGCTTTCCCAGCAGGGCTTTTTGCTTCTCCAACAGCTCCAGTGAGGGGCTGGAAGGCTCACTGGGACAGGGTGGTGCTTCCTCCCCTCCCTGCTGCTCTCCCACGCTGGGATGAGGCTCCCGAGGTACAAAACATTGCTGGTTCTCCCAGTGCTGCCCTTGCTGGTGTCCTCCAGCCCTCACCTCCCCCAGATTCGTTACAAACCAGAGAATTCACTGACACCAAACTCATGCTTTGAGAAGCAAACACTGGGATCCAGAGCAGGATTCCCAGGGTTATTCCTGTCACGTGCCAGCAACGAGCTTTTAGAAGACTTTAAAAATGCTTTTCCAAAAGGTCCACCCAGTTCAGTCTGGACTGTACTGGAGGGCAGTAAAAGAAGACAGAAATGCTCATTTCCAGGCTGGGCTCTTGTGATTCCTGTGAACTTGGTCACAGCTGAAGTGTTTTAGCAGGCAAAGGCTGCTGATGGTCAGTTAAAGGAGCAGCAATCCCACAGGAAGCCACACATTTAATCCATTGGCAAGAAAAAGTGCAGCACTGTGGGTCTGGAGATGTTTAATCCCTGCCATAACAGCCTGAGCTGCTTTCCCTGCAAGCTCTGAAGCTGTTGGAAATCCCACTGCAAGGCTGAAAAAAAACCCAGGCTGTTTCTACTGCCAGAGACCTGCTCTGGAACCAGCCAGACCAAACCTCCCTGGGGTAAAACATCCCCTGTGCCGAGCCAGCCCTCAGCCTGGCCCTGAGCTCACCACACAGCACCAGTGCCACCTGTATCAGGAGCATCCCCCACCACAGCCCAGGGATGCCGAACACTGACACACCTGTGGAGATTCAAGGCTCCCAACACTCCAAAAACTCGTCAAGGAAAACGCTTTTCTCTTCCAAACCTGAATTCCAGAACGCTGCTGAAGGTGCTGCCCGATTGTCTGGGAGATTTGTGGTGTCCAGCTCCTCCCACCCACGGGAAGGGCTTTCCCTCCTCCCACGCAGGGCTCAGCTGGGCACACAGCACAGCTCCCCCCAGGGCCCTCTGCACAGGCATTCACACTTGGAAAACACGGTGTTCTCCTCGACAAATCCATTCTGGGAGCTGCTGGGAGTTGGTTGAAGCTGCATTTTAATGAAATGCTGACTTACCTGCCAGAATATGCTGTCTATTGTGTTCCCCAGAAAGCCGTCCCTGCCCTCCGACGACACCAGCTTAGGGCCCAGGATGGTCATAAATTCATCAAAATCCACCTGGCCATCCCCTGGAATGAAAGAAAAACGTCACAGGGTTATGGAGGCAGGGAATAGTTTGGGTTGGAAGGGGCTTTTAGAGGCCATCTAGTGCATCTCTAGAGCATCTTCTGCTGGATCTGCTTGTTCCAAACCCTGTCCAACCTGGCCATGGACACTTCCAGGGACAGGGTAGCCACCAACTCTCTGGAAAACCTCTGCCAGGGCCCCACCCTCATTGTTATCAAGGAATTATCCCTGAGTGCCAATGTCCAACCTGCTGCTCTGGATGTGCTGCACATCAAGGACCCACTGTGGCACCTCCTCCATCAGCCCCATGGTGCTTCCAGACCCAGATCCTTTGATATCCCAAAGAATGGCCCCTGCTGTGGCCCATCCACACCTGCAGACAGGACCAGACTAGAGGTGAGCAGGTCATTCCCAGCCCTGGAGAGGCCATTCCCTTCTCCAAAAGCCCTTCTGGCAGGACAGGAGGCAGCAGCACATCCAGGGCTCTTCCCTCACCGCTGCCAAACAGGTCTGTGCAAAACTTTTCCAGGGCCAGCAGCATCCTCCAGAGGGAGGGAGTCCACAGAGCAGAGAGCCAGACTATTGCAAAGCCACGAGGCATTTCATTCCATCTTTCCAGGAGCTCTGGGAAGGCCTGAGCTCTCAGCAGGCACAGCTTCAGTGCCTTTAGCAGGGAGAGGAGGGTGTTCCTGCCACTAATGAGCTGAGCTGCTGCTGCCCTGAGCCCCTGCCTGTGCTCCAAACCAGGCTGTCTGGAGGGAGAATTGTATCCAGTGTTACTTTTCCCTCTGAGAACATCTGCCATGAAAATGAAAATGGCAAAAAAGGGGACATTCCTGCCTGCTGAAGGGTCTTAAAAATACCTGTTTGTCTGAACAATGTCTAGACCTTCTGAAAATATTTAATCTCCCCAAATCTATCAGTCCACGGGCACACCCGCCTGCACATCATTGAGGGAGTGGATATATTTGGCCTTTTCCAAGTCTGGAAGCACCATCAGCAACTTGCAAGAGTTGTAGTTGTGTTTTGTTCTCGTTCAGCTGGACCTGACTGCACCCACCTCTCCAGGCAAAAAATCACCAGGTGGGAGAAGTGCCTGAAACCATCAGACTAAAGCAGATTAAATCACCAGGTGGGAGAAGTGCCTGGAACCATCAGACTAAAGCAATGCCAGGGCTGCTGTTCAAATGCCACCACTGCCTGCAGCAACCTGCAGCAACCCCCCTTCCCCCCTGCACCACGTGTGTCTCTCCTCTTTATCACATCCCAGATGCCTGATGTGAGCAGATGCACCCTCTGAAATCCCTCCTTATCTCCCCAGATAATCAGCAGAGTCAAAGGACTGTGATCTCCAGTCAGGGGGGCTCTGCCTGGAACTGCTTGCGGGGAATATCCCGGGGCTGAGCCGGTGAGAGGAGCCCAGCAGGGATTCCTGGTGGCTTTGATCCTGGAACATGCCCAGAGATCATCCCATCTCACTGCTAAAGCTGCTCACACCTTCGGGGCTTTGCAGGGCTGAGCCCTTGCAGCATTTCTGCATTTCTGGGACAGCTGATTAAGCAGGGAAGGAAAGGGGTGGGCACCCCATCCCCTGGGAAAACATCCTTTAGAACATTTATGGGCTATGGAAACATCTGCTCCCTCTGCTCCCCCCTGGGAACGGCATCAGGTGGGATTGGATCAGACACAGAGCCAGGAACAAATCCATGCCCTGGGATGCAAACCGGGATGGTAATTTCCTGGAATTAGCCAGATTAGGGAGAAAACAATTTGCATTTCAGAGAGGCCCCAGTAGCTGCCCCTGCACAGATTTGGGCTGTGCAGGTGCAGCCCCCAAACCCTGAGTTGTTCAGTTTGGGTTTTCTACACTGTCCTTTCACCCCCAGAGGACAGGCAGGACTTCACCCCATTCATGACCCCTGAGCAAGCAGGTGCCAGGACTGCTGGACTCTGGGGCTGACTCTGGGGCTGTGGGCAGACCCTGCTCCTGAATGCCCAGTGCCTTTACCAGGGATCAAAACTAACTTCACAGGCTTTAATTATCAGCTTCATTGTAGCATTTGCCACAACCTCGGTAGAAAGATGCCATTAAAAAATGCACTATCCTGTTATTGACTGCTTTTTCAATTAAAACTCTTAACTAGCAAGGAAACTAGACCCTGAAACACTCTGCCAGGTAGAAATATCCCTTTAGCATTCACTACAAGCTGCAGAGAACAAACCTTCCTGCCATCAGGGTCTCAGGAGACAGCAACATCATAATATCACGAAAGAGAAATCACAGTCTTGTCTGAAAATTCCTTTTGCACTATGTAACTGCCAGGAGAGAAATATAAAAATCTACACACAGGTTCCAAGCCTGCAGTGAGAAAATGCACGGGGGTGCTTTCCACAGCCATGGCATCACCAGGTATTGCCCAATACCCACAGCCCATCAGATCCTGAAATGTGTGTTGGGCCCTGTCAAAAGGTGCCTTCCTCATCCTCCTCCTCCTCACAGTCACAGTGTGGTACCAGCTGATGTGTGATGCTCACACTGAGCATCTGCTCTGGAGGCAAATCACACCCCACACACGTCCCCACGTTCCTCTGCTGGGCCCACAGAGTTGCTGCTCTCCTGGGCTCCCAGAATCCCAGGATGTGCTGGATTGGAAGGGACCCCCAAGGATCATCAGTCCAACCCTCAGCCCTGCACAGGCCCAGCCCCGAGAGTCCCCCCCTGTGCCCCAGAGGATCATCCAAAGCCTCCTGCAGCTCTGGCAGCCTTGGGGCTGTGCCCACTGCCCTGGGGAGCCTGTTCAGTGCCAGGGACAGGTCACTGCTTGGGTGGGCACTGAGCAAAGCACCAGAGCTGAGCTTAACCCCTGGTTTAACCCACCTAAACCACTTACTGGTTTCCTGACAGTTCTGCCCTCACATCTTTCTCCCTGGCAATGCTTCCTCCTCGCCCTGGCATCGGTGTCAAAGAGTCCCAAGCAGGGTGACAATCCCGTGGCTGAACCTGGCATGACTAAAGGATGACTCAGAACATCTCTGGCCACATCAGCACAGACAACTCAGATCTGCTCAGAATTCCCAGCCCCTCAGCACGGGGATATTGTGCTCATTTGTGCTCCCAGACACCACAAAGGTTGGCTCCACTGTCCCAGTTCCCACAAAAAACAGGCAAGTGTGATAATGAAAAAGAGTAACAATGAGCTGTCCACAGCAACAGTGGGAGCATAATTGCTCCAACACGGAAAAAGCATGCTGAAGGCACCCAACAACATCTTTGAGGGCTCTGGGAACCTTCTCAGTGACCAAAAACTGGTCAACAAGGGGTCACAGACCTGCCAAAATCACCCTGGGCACTGTTTGCTCCAGGGGTGCAGAAAGGCCTCGGGGATAACTCCACCTGGAACAACATTTGCTGTGCTCTGAGCCCACTTTGGCTGCTCCCCTGGAGCTCCACAGAGCCACAGCAGGGAACAGCTGGGCTCACAGGATGTCCAGCACATTTATTCCAAGTGTGGGCATGGCAGGGGGTTGGAATTGGATGATCTTTAGGGTTCCTTCCAACCCAAACCGTCCTGTGATTCTCAGTGCAGCAAAGATGATGGAGCAGCAGCTCAGAGCAGTGTGGAGCTGGGAAACCTGGGGCTTTTCCAGCTCTCCCAGACCCTGCAGCCCAGAGAAATTTGCTTTGTACTTGCCTTCCCCCAGGAAGGGGTATCTGCTCCTTTGAAAAATGCCCATTAGGTTTTCTAAGTAAACCAGTGGCATCACAGAATCATTAAGGTTGGAAAACGTTCCCTTCCACACCAGTTTATTCACGCTGGGCTTGTGATTCCAGATCCCCTGGACAAAGAAGTTTCAAGTGCCATCAGCTGCTCTTGCTGGTTCTTCACTGGTGTGTAAGAGCTGAGCACAGAAAATCCCAACCCTCCCTCTAAACTGATGAGTTTTCAGCTCCACACAAGGGATTTCATCTTCCCTCAGACCCCTCTGATGGGAAGAAGGGAAGGCTGTATTTGCTGGGGGATGTTTGGAGGGAAAAACACAGGCAGAGCTCTTCCACCACCACATCCCACAATCCCAAATGGGTCAGGTTGGAAGGCACTCCAGTGGGTCACTGGTCCCACCTCCCTGCTCAGGCAGAGCCAGCCCAGAGCACAGGGCACAGGATTGTGTCCAGAGGGCTCTGGAATATCCCCAGGGAGGAGACTCCAGCCCAACAGCCCAAACTACCCCCAGCTGCACTTTTATATCAAGCCAAGCTACACCCACGGGGCCTGAACCCCACCCTGCCTTGTCCTGAGCCCACAGGATCCACCCTCACAAGAGTCTGCCAGGCAGGGGAGTAGGATCCAGGAGAGGACTGCAAATCCCCACATCCCAGGGAGCAGCAGCCTCCTGCAGACTCTCCTGTCACAGCTCTTGTGCTTTGGAGGAATAATGAAAAGCTCGGAGGAGCAGCGGCGTGAACCCACCTCACCCCCCTCCCCAGGGGAGAGCCAACCCTCAGCCCTCAGTCAATCCCTGTCCAAAAATCTCCTGCTGGAGTGGCTCCCTTGGAGGATGTAATTAAATATTCATTGGGCTGAAGAAAGGCAGAGGGAAGGAAAAAGGGAGAGAGGGAAAACGTGCATGGATTGCACGGTGCATGGGTTGCATCATCTCCACCCAAGGACACAACACACTTAGACTGGGCTTTCAGAGCCTTGTGTATTAAAATAGTTGATTGATTCCTAAATCAGTGTTTTCCCTGACCATTCCCAGGCTGGTCACAGCAGGAGAGGGAAGGAAAAGGAGGGGGAGAAACCTGCATGGATTGCACCGTGCATGGATTGCATCGTCTCCACCCAAGGACACAACACACTTAGACCGGGCATTCAACTGGGAGCCTGGATAATCTGACCTGATTGCTTCCTAAAGAAGTGTTTTCCCTGGCCATTCCCAGGTGCTCAGGTGGTCCCTCTTGCCCAGCTCCCTGGCAGCAGACATCCCAACCCAGCCGAGCTGT